CACGTAAAGTTAAATTTATATAGATTATATGTTAATATAATCAATTTTAATAACACTAAATGGTTATTAAAAATTCAAAACGTTCATATCTTGCTTATTGCCGTATCGAGGAGATTGAGCGCGATTGCGGCATAATGTATTACGACGTAAGCATTTTTAATATAGAATTCATAAATAAGATAAACTAAATATATATTAATATATATTTTAATATTTGTTTTTAATTTGGCAATTTATTTTACAAATTTATACTCCCTTCGGCGCGATTCTGAATATACATCTTTATGCTAGAATTTTATGCAATCTGTAAAAGTTACAGGAAAATCTAAAAGTTATTTTAATACTTACCTGGATAGATGAAAATATTATCATAATATTTATATTTCGAATTTTTTTCCTCTTGTTTTGCATATGATTTACCTGTAACTTTCAGAGATTATACAGTAATCGCTCATTAATTTGATATTTAATATGACAAATATATAATAAAAAAGGGCGGCAGTGTAGAATTCGCACCCGGGCGGCAAATACCCTTGGCCCGGCCCTGATTACATGAAAATCTGTGGGAATGCGGCTGTGAGGCTAGAGATTTTTATAATTTTGTTCATTCAAAATCTGACATAATTAACATATCTAAAATAATATGTCACAGAAAAGGTACATCCATATTAAAAATGTCCTGGGACGATTTTTGTCCATCTATTATATATTATAATAATATAATGGTGATTATCAGCATCAGTGCAGCAATTGCTCTTATTGGATTAATTGTTGGTTTAATTTTTGGTTTGTATTTCAAATACGAAACACATATTAAAGTATGGCTATTTGCGCATCAGTGGTGTTTATCCTTTGTAACGGAAGAGGAATTAGATAAGGACAAATTGTACGACGCATTTGTGAGCTTCTCGCACAAGAATCACGATTTTATAGTGGACGAGTTGATATCGAAGCTAGAGAGTGGCCCGACACCGTTGAAATTGTGTCTTCATTATCGAGATTGGTTAGCAGACGAATGGATACCGGATAATATTGCTAGATCTGTGGAGAATTCTAGACGAACGATAGTGGTACTGTCGCCAAATTTTTTGGAGAGCATCTGGGGAAGAATGGAATTTCGGGCTGCTCATCGTCAAGCGTTAAACGAAGGTCGGACGCGAGTGATACTGATCTTGTATGGTGACATCGGCCCTACAGATAATTTGGATGTTGAACTGAAAGCGTACATATCTATGAACACGTACATTCATTGGGGAGATCCTTGGTTTTGGGATAAATTAAGATACGCGCTGCCGCATCAATTCGGACGACCGAAAAATAATCCCGCCCAAAGAAAAGTTTTCGAGAATTATGAATTGTAAGCAAACAAAGATAATAAGGAGCTCCTTCATTATATTTTCCAAAGCACTTACAATCACTTTATCGTAAACTGATTTTTACTATAATTTTTAGCTATAATTATGAGTAATGAAATTGATACAACTGCAAGTAACAAATTATTTTCTATAATACACAAAGAAAGAGAAGATTTGACAGCGAGTAAAAATAATAAATATGATTTAATACGAATATTTTTATTAGATGAATATTACGATTGTTATAAATATTAAAAAAAAAATATTATTCCATAATTTATACAACCTAGCAATACAACGTAAAACAAAAATAATACAATTTTGCTATGTATGCAATAGATTATCACTGTCCGTTTGAAATTGTGTGAGATCTAAAACATCGAGCAAAACTCTAGCTTCTCAGTATGGCCAATCTATCGTAAGAAGTAATATACAGTTTTGACCAAAATTATTAAACACCCATATTATCATTATACCGTACTAAATCTAATACCAAAAAAGACTTTTATTGTTTAAAAGTTGTTTATTAGAGTGTTTATTGTTAAGTTGTTAAAGTTAAGAAATGTTTTATTTCTTTCAAAAAATAAATGTTATTTTGATAAAAGTATTTTAATAGGGTGCCTAATAATTTTGGCAAAGGCTGTATATTAAATTTATGCGGTAGTTTCTAAGAAATATGTAACGTATTTACATAAGTATTAAAGGTATATACATAAAAGGAGATATACAAATTTTATAATATTGAATCTGACCTGAACTTCTTCTAAAACTAAGTAAACCTATTCATGAGTAAAAGCACGCTTTTTTACTGATTAACGAAAATATATTAAAGCGGCTAGCACCGGAATTACAGTTAGTATTATGCCAGCTACTGTTCTAGCTGTAAGTACAATTCATCGTGAGATCGTTATAATAAAATATGGGAAGTAGAAAGAAACTAATTTAAAAAAAAAATTTATTCGTGAATTTTATTTGTAGCAAAACATTTTCACAAATAAAATAGAAAATAAAATTGACTTTGTTGTTATATATTGCTTTAACGTCTAAGTATTTTAATCAAAATTGTCTTGCCACTTGTCTTAGTTCGTCTTACTAAATTGAATGTTGCTATAATCTTAATGTAATATAATATCTCATTTTTTTAATTTTAAAATAAGAAATTGAATATTCCAAAAACCTATTTACCGTGACTAGAAGATAATTTTTTCAATATTCTGGAGAATAAAGTTGCTTCTCCTGCTTGAGAATTAACATGTTTCGCAGATTGCTCTCAGTGTGCCACTCAAATTCTGCGCTGCATTGCAATTCTTGAACTAGAAAAACAGGAATAATAATTATATTAAATATAAATAAATTTAAAAAATGTATAAAGAAAACTTTGTGTTGCATCTAAGCGTGTTTACCGAAACAATATTTTGCGACGCGGTAGTGTCGCGACACCAGATACATAAATGTCAACAGTTTTGCCTATATACAGGGACCGCGGCGCTACCAAGTTGTATTAAAAGAATACTATTTTGTATGAGTTGAATTTATTTTGAAAATCAGGTTTCTATTAATAAAAATAAAATAAGTTTTAATTTTATTGAGAGTATCTATAATGTATGTATAAAATTTTTATAAATGTAAGATTGATTTCACAACAAATATTATTTCAAATTACAAATCCTTTGAAATTGATTTGCTTCTATATACTTGGCTAAGCGATATTGATTTCATATTTAGTTTTGATAAATATTTTTTTAAATAATATTTTTTAGGGTAATATTTTTAGGATTATTTTTTGGTGTAAGTTATTTGTTAATTCTTAGTTTTTAGAAATAAATGTTTTTTAAACTTTTTGTTGCGTATACCATAAGTTGGGCTATTCTTATGTACTTGGCGTATTTATTTACTTTTGTCAGGTTTTTTTTATGTTGTATACCACAAAAAAAGTGACGTAAGTCGAAATTTTTTGAATTTCGTTTTATGTATGAATTATGTTGTAAATACATAATTTTAAATTAAAATTTTAATTAATTTATCACATATTGTGTATTTTATTGTATATAAGGAATTTAAAATTTTTTTCTATGATATATATAACATAAATAATCATGTGATAATTATAAGATATAATTTTCCATTAAAAAATGATTATGCATATATATACATTAGTCTTTTTACATTGGTTTCTGCATTGGTCTCGTCATCGGAAATTCCTTAAATCATGAGAAATGCTAAAAATTGCTTAGAGAACCGCAAAAACACATTTCCCAAATTAGATTAATTCTTTTTTTTTTGTTATAGCACAGAATTATACACATTTTTCGTATGTTATATGTTTATAAAATGTTTTTAAAATATATAAAAAAGAAACAATAAAAGGAGAAAAGAAAAAAAACGGAACAGTATTCGCAATTACTTAAAATTAATCTATATCGAAACTGCCAAGGAATGATAACTCTCCAATTTTATCGGGAACGGAAAGCCAAAATTATGGTCAACCGCATAACGGATAACTGATTATGGTTGACGGTGTGGTTTGGAAGTATATTGTTTAGAAGTGTAAAATGCGACTACAGTTCCACAAATTAGATCGGCATGTTTTTCATATATTAGATTGTCTACCTATATGCTTATTTCACAATTTAAAAAAAAAAACAGTCACGAATATATCGAAAGTATTACCGAACATTGATTCTGTGCATTTAATAATTATTTAATAATTGCCATTGTTTTTCGACAAAGGAGAAAATCTAAACATAAACCACATCCCAGATAGCACAGTGAATTCGCAAAGTATTCTTCAATATCGCAAGTATTCTTCTTCCATAATTTTCTTCTTTCCTGAATTGTAATTCTTTAGGAATTCAAGAGGAATAGTTTTAGAATAGAGAAAGGATTACAAAATACTTAGTAAACACCAACCAACAGTATAATTTTACTCAACATTACTCAATAATGTAAGTGCATTATACATGTTGTATATAACAATTACATTATTGAGTGACGAATTACAATATTGATGTAATGTCATTGTTAGTCGATATCTTTAGTAGATATATTAGTAACAATTATTAAAAGTATATAATAAATGAATCCAGTTCAACCGTTATTTATTGAATACTTACCATTCAGTAAATTGTTCGTGGATTTTTATAATATATCATCTTTTTGCCTTTTATAACACTACACGAGATGGGTCGAAAGATGCGTAGTGTTTTGCGCACCGCATGTATACGGTTCTCGTTTTTTGTGTGCGCGGAGACCGCAGTAAACTAATCTAGCAGCTCTAGTCAGAATTAAAACAAAATATTTTTAATTCCTCATGAATTCTCGAAGTATTCAAAATACTGAATCGCAAAGTATTCATTATAATGAATTTTTGGGGAATTTCAAGATGAACTAATTGTAGTTAATTCTTTTAAAATTCTTCAGATATTAATTTTTCTAATTTTGTATGTATTCTTTAAAATGAATTCTCTATAAACTTCTATTCAGCTCTGTGCTATCTGGGATATTACAGTTATATTCTGTGTTTGCTGGGTAAATTGTTCATAATCCAAAAAAGTATAGAATAATTATAAGTTAGAAAGCAAGTAACATTTTAATTAGTTTTATTAGATTCAAACAATGATTATTAACAGTTATACACAACAGTGAAATAAATAACAAACAGATTTAGGATAATATTATAAAAATGGACATGTCACTTTTTACATGTACTATGCAATTATCTCGATAAAAAAGAAATATTTTGTAATAAAACTTGAAAGTAGATTTCGTCGCACGAAAACTCAAATAAAATTATAATGTATTATTTCGTTTATTCGTTATTCCTAAATAACGATTCATATATTATCTCATAGTAATACAGAAATATATTATAAAATTAAGTTTTATTTCTGCAGCTTGTACGCTATGATACGATAAAAGCAAGACAAATGTCAGTAGGTAATAAGCTTGTTAATAAAACCTGATATATTATTATAAATCACAAGGTGTGGAATGGGTACGACAATCCAATGTGACTCTAAATTATCTAAATGACTAACGCTTAGATTAAATAATTCTTCCATAAAAATTTTCCTTATCCCACGACTAGCAACTATTTACATTGAAACGTGAGAAAGTATGGCGAGATAAATTATATAAATCATCCAAATAAAACATGAATTAACATTCTTTTGTGTTGTGTTATGATAAAGGCAATATCAACAGCGCTGCTCGCACAATCTATGTTTCATTTCGACGACTTTTATTACAATGAAATCATATACTTCTATATAAAAGACTGTGACTTTTCCCTTATTATCACATTCGAAATTGCCACTATTTCATGTTCGCAGTAACTTATAACTAGTTCCATATTTGACATATATAGATTAATATTACTCGAAAGGTAATTCTAATGGTTTTTTGTCGATTGTAGACGTCTTTATAAATATATCTCTATATATGTTACGTGATAGCTTATAAATATTAAAACTCATAATATACAATGAAAAGAGAGTTACAACTCGCGCGCGCGCGCGCACACACATACATACATACATACGCACCCAAGCTTTTTCAATTATTTATAACATTATTATAAGAAATTACGCGCAAATATAAACATGCGAAACATAGTTCTATACAAGATTGCGTCGTATAAAGTCCGAGCGCCTTTCTTAAATATCTAAAACAAAAAAAAGAAATATTACAAAGAAAAATGTTTTTAAGAATATTATGTGAGCATACTAATTCAATGTGAAACAGAGAATAAGAAACAGAGAATAAGATTTCCTTTCACGTAGTTCTTTGCTTCTTAAAATTTTCAATTGGATTGTTCTATATATGAAACAGCCTCTGTATAAAGTACACAATAAAAATGTTATTTTCCATCAATATATTGATAATTATCGATATATGTATAGCAATCTTCAATTATTCATACTGATATGAAAGATAATCTACTTTTTGTTTTATGTCTTATATAACGGCGACTTGAATAATATGCTGTTAGAAATTATACTAAATGAGGAAATATGTATTACAATCGCTGTAACACTATATTTACTTTCCAGCGACATCCTAAGCTGCCTTTTTCACTTCGTCGTTAATTTCGAAAAAATATAGATTAACTAAGTAAATCCATGATATCTTGCGTGGATATATCAGGCTTGTTCGAGTTAGTTGGCGTGTTGGTCGGCGAAATAAAAGGCTGTAATGTTCCAGGTTGTAACGTTCCAGAAAAATTTAAATTTGGCCTGATTTCTGACTGCGTTGTAAAATTCACATTGCTTTGAGGAGCGATTGAGCCCCACATCGGCGTGGATTGTTGTGCACTCCAGTTCATGGTTGTATTTATTCCATTGGAACTCCAATTTATCGGTCTATTTGACATCGTTTGCGAATTAAGCGTCGGAGATGTTAAAAATTGCGACTGCATTTGAATAACATTGTTATTCTTATTCCAGGACGAACCCGCGATATTCTTAGCCGTGTAATCTGGTTGCGACATAGTTGTTTTTGACATTGATAGATTTAGCTCATCCAGATTGTTCTTCAGCAGAGTTGCGGTCAAATCCTTCGGCTGCGGTTTTGTAGGTTGCGACACAGCTTTAGGAATCAATATGGATTGCGATTGCAACCTTTGATGGGCTTCCTGCTGCTGAATTAACCTAGAAAAATAATTATCAATGTATTTAATTTTACATGAGTACATTTCGATGAATACACAATAAAAAGAATATATAAAATTTTTAAAAACTTGTTGATACAAACCTAAACTTGTCCTCGATGGTTAATCCATTTTCAATATTTACAGATTTGGTGGTAGCATTTGAAGATGAAACTTCGGTTGTTAAATTAATATCACTCAGACTATTGTTTTGCATAAACGTGGGCGAGGCGACTTGAGAGAGTGCATGATCAAGTTGTTGCGTCTCGCGACGTACTGCGTCCAGTTGCCGTAACGCTTCTCGATGTTCATTGATCACTCGATTTATCATATCGACGACCAACGTAGAAAGTGTTTCGTATTGTGACATGCTGAGATTTTGCTCAATGCAGAGAGGCAACAAAAACGGTAGTACCTTCGTCGCCAGTATTTCTTTGCCCATACCCAACTTGCTATGAGTGAGTAACATCCTATAAATACCTAAGGACATATAAATTCTTTTATTAATTTTTTTTGCGCGACACTGACAAATTGCAATAGAATTGTTTTAAACATTTCTATTCTGTTAAAATTTTATTTTTACAAAATATACAAATATTACCTATAATAGCCATTAAAATGGCTGGTTCGCCAGAATGACGAACTTCCTGCAGAAACGGTAATATTTGGTCGAACACTAGCCAACGATCGAAGTTCGGCAACATTTTTGCAAGACACAGCAAGCAATTAACGCGTATCCCAAGACTAGTGGGTTTTTTGTCTGGTGACAAACATATCTTCTTCATTCGCGGCAGTATGGCATTTTTTATTACTGGTCCCTTGATCATCGTCACTATATTTGGCAATGCCGACAGGCAAAGCTCTTGAAGCTGTTCCCACTCGGATTCCAAAGCACGCATTAGCATAGGCACTATATCGGTCTTAATGACGTCCGTGGGGCATAGTTTGAGCAATAAATTTACATGCTGCATGAGAACCAAACTGATCTGTGAAGAAAATTGATGCGTATTTTATATATTTGATGTATTAAACTTTTATAAGCACATTTGATTATTTGATTATTTTTTATTATTAATATTTATTATATATTTTGTATTATTTTACTCACTTGTGGCGGATCTTCCAAAGCAAGAACAGGTTTCAAATTAGGAAGGATATGCTCGCGGAATTCTTCTACCTCAGTAACTTCCATCACTTGCAATATGCTCGGCAATACAAATGGTATCATAGAAGGATTCACTAGTTCCTTATAAAGTGCGGGTAGTACTCTATGCAATATCACTCTATGTGGCAATTGCTTCATCAACTGTGGAAGACCTTTGTAAAACTGCGATTTTTGCAGATTATCCCATTGGAATAATTTATCTAAGTAATTTAATGTCTTAACACCGATGTCTGCGAAATATTCGATCTGTAATCATTTATTTACAATTAATTGTAGAATAGACATTAATCTTCTTACTCAATTATCTTATTAAAATTAAAAATTTTAGATATTTCATTAAATAAACAAAGTTTGTCCAAAATATTGCTTCAAGAAAAATCTACCTTGATGAATTGATGAGCATCCAATCTTAATTCTGGGCTATGACTTAACATGAGCTTTACAGTATCTCTCAAAGTCTCGGGAATTGGAAGCAGCTTTGCTGAAATGTTGGATCTTTTAAAATTTTCTAGAAAACGTCGACACTTTCCCAAGTCATTGTGAGAGTCATTAAGTGGCTGATGTCCTGAAGAATGTATTGTATATATCAGCATGCCCAGTGAAAAAATATCACTCGACGGTCCGTTGCTGCTCGCTAATATACATTCAGGTGCTTGGTAATTTAACTGAGGTTGCACTACAGCTGGGAGTGTGGGATCATATTCCAGATATGGCCACGATGGCTACAAAAATATAACAACTTGTAAATACAATTCATAAAAATGCAAAATACAATGATTAAACCAAACATAAATAATTTAATAATTGTACATAATTGTAAATTTTCTCTTTCTGAATAAATATTAATTTGTAGTTATATTAAGATGCATTAATATAACTGGCAGATATGCTTATCGATCAATGATCTTCATATACCTGTTTACTGTCTGAATTTTGATTTAAGACACAGAAGTCAAAGCCAAATATCTTCCATGCTCCATGAACATTCATAACAATTGATTCTGGACACAAATTCCTATGCAGTAATTTTACATCACTGTGTAAAAATGCCAAGCCTTCTCCCACTTGCAGCAATCCATAGCGTATCTCTATGTCGTGCAGTTTGTAATCTTTCAGGTTTGCTGGAGTCAGTTGAGATATGTTCTCATAATTACCTAAGATTGACATATACAATTTTATAAGTATTATCTATACTGAATTGTGATAAAATATTAGCATAAATCAATTAAATCTTTATAACATTAAGAATTTAATCATTGTTATCCACCTAATACATTAGCCAGACTAGCAAATACTGGTTCAGTCGCAAATGCAAGACTGTCCCTTGATTCCTCCAAAGGATGTTGCACAATCAAAACCTGCGGATGCCTCAATTTTGTCAACTGCATTACACCTCGCTTCAAAGTCTCCAATACAAGCTCGCGATCTGCTTTCGCAGACCATTTCTCTAGCATACGTTTTTCAAACACAAATATTGCAGCCTCTTGCTTGGTGGACTTTTTGAAACCACTGTAGACCTTCCACAGTAATCCTGGTCCAGCGCTCGCCACATGAGCAATCGCTTCAAATTCCCTGGTTACAGGATTGCCGGGTAGAACACTTGACAGCTGTGATAAGCCGTACGCCGTGTTCTGCACGGTATTGCTGATAGTATTGCTGACTGTGTTTCGAAGCTTGTTCAGAACATCCATTCTATCAGTTGTCACTTGGTGTTATCTCCATGAAAAGATGTGTATACAAAAGTATCAGTAAGAGATACTTTCAGGAAATATCGAGAAGATTGTTTGTTTTCGAGAGAATCGTATTTCTATTAATAAATATTGTTTGAACAGGTGTGAGAACTCCGAAAATCACTATCTACCATGAATCATACACACAAAGCGTATAACGCAAGACGACTACTCCCATCATTTCTATACCATCCTTTCGTACTTATCACTTATCATAAATGAAGGCGACAGCCGGAAAGAGAGGAAACATCTGCCACCGTATTAAATGTCACCACCTAATGGCCTTTACACGTTTTAAGGCCGAAGCACAGACTTTTACATAAGGCATAACACATAAGGAAATCAACCAATCAGAGTCCTTCATTTTCATCCCCACTTCTCATTCTGCGGATCTTCGTCCAGTTGATTCTCTTAGGACCACTTTTTCCAACGTCGGTTAACTTTAACCGACTGGTAACTTTTAAGTTGGCTATTCTGAAAAGTTACCAATCAGATAAAGGGTGTTTACGATAATTCAAGTTCGAGTTAGTTTCACTAGGACCGACAATGAGATATACATAACCATCTAGAACCTGTATGATTCATGACAACTCGACGCTGTCTTGTATTGCTTGAGTTAAATTCATTGAATTTGTTGAGTTTAATAAATATAATTATATACATATATATATAATTATATCTATTAAAGAAGTATACCAACATACATACCAACATTATTTGTTTCTTTCATAGACTGATTTGCAGTTAACATTTTTTATTACAATAAAATTTGCTCTATAAACTCAACAAATTCAATTAATTTAACTCAAGCAATACAAGACAGCGTCGAGTTGTCATAAATCATAAAGGTTCTAGATGGTTATGTCTATCTCATTTTTCGGTCCTAGTGAAACTAATAGCGTTTTCGATTATACAGGATTTGAACGACCCAAGATTGGTTAATGACGTCATTGCAACCTCTCCACCAATGAAAGACTTGCATTTATAGTAAAATAGTGATTGATCAACCCTAGATCGTTCAAACCCCGTTTATTCGAAAACGCTATAACTCGAACTTGAATTATCGTAAACACTCAATACAAGACAGCGTCGAGTTATCATAAATCATAAAGATTCTAGATGGTTATGTCTATTTCATTTTTCGGTCCTAGTGAAACTAACTCGAACTTGAATTATCGTAAACACCCATAGTGTTAGTATTGCAAAATCTTTTTTTACAGTCAATTTCTATACTTTTTTTTATCAATATACTAATAGCGTTTTTGATTATACAGGATTTGAACGATCCAGGGTTGATCAATCACTATTTTATTATAAATGCAAGTCTTTCATTGGTGGAGAGGTTGCAATGACGTCATTAACCAACCCTGGGTCGTTCAAATCCTGTATAATCGAAAACGCTATAAGATTTTAGGATTGACGACATATACAAGTTTCAAATTTTAGCTGGCTATTCTGAAAAGTTACCAGTCGGTTAGAATTAACCATTGAAATATATACCATACTGGAACTAGCACGCCTTTGTTCTCGACCGGTCAGATGGAGATAGCTGTTTGGACCCGGATCTCTCTATCTAACCAACAGTTTCGGTCACGTGTTCACAACTACTATTAGTTGAGAGTAGACGAGATAGAAAGAGAAATCCGGTACCGAGTCACTACCTTGTCTGATCGTTTTGTCGAATGGAGGGGGTAGCCTGTGCTCGTTCCAGTATGGTATATAGTTCAATGGAGTTAACAGACGTTGGAAAAAATAGCCCTAAACGATTTATACCTATCAAAAAAGCAGATTTAGGCCGGTATTCATAGTTATTTCTTATATTTAAGATCGTCTTAAGTCGTCGTCATTGTCGTCTTAAGATACTAATATGGCTTTTTGATTGTTTCGTAGCATTTTAAGACAAAACTTAAGACAATCTTAAATATAAGAACGGACTATGGGCGGTATTCATAGTCCGTTCTTATATTCAAATCGTCTTAAGCACGGACTTATATTCGCTCTCTTCGTCACACATAGATTGTGTCTGACGAAGAGAGCGAATATAAGTTTGTACTTAAGACGATCTTGAATATAAGAACGGACTATGAATACCGGCCTATGAATACCAGCCTTAGTACTTTGTACGCGTACTAAATAATTGGTGTAAACTAATAGCGTTTTCGATTATACAGGAT